TTAGGCCTTTAGAGAAGAAAAAGCATGACTTTCATTTTAGTATGGTTTATGCAGTACTTAGTGCCATTTAATGTGCTATTTATTCAGCCAGTTTAACAAACCACATGTGGAGCTGCTTTTCAGATGGTACAACTCACACCTTGGAAACTCTGTGTTTCACTGCACATCGATTTGTCCACTTCACTACTTATGAATCAGTCACCTGGCTGCTTCATTCACATCACTCAAATTGTGTATTAGCTGGCTGACCTACCCTCACATCCATGGCATGTGCACCTGCTTTGATGTATGTCACACAAATGCCTCCTTATACAGATAATACATACCTGTTCCTTCTACAATCATTTACTACAAAGCATTTAGCCTCCCCACCTGCCTTCTGGATACTGAACACCTGGTTTGTTCCCTGGACCAGCTGTGATCTTTGCCATACTTACATTTAATAGGCCTTAAAATATGTGCTTTCCAATAATCTAATTTTAGAGAATGTTAGAAAGAGATGAAGTAGAAGACAGGAAGTGCTGGAGAACACTATTCCATGTGGGATTGTATTACGCTATTACCCTCATGTCTCATTTTCTGTCTAGATTTGTGTGCTTTGACAGCCCCCTTTCTCTATTGACTCTTTCACCGATTCCTTATTTCAAATCCTTTTGTGTGTGTGTGTATATGTGTGTGTGTGTGTGTGTGTGTGTGTGTGTGTGTGTGTGTGTTGAAGGGAGAAACTAATTGGCTACAATTCTGGTTAAAGTTAATTTTTGCTTTACATTTATGCATTTCACAAACATTTTCAAAACAACACATTAGGAGTATATTTGATCAGTTCATGATAATTGAACCCATGATCTCCGAATTGCTAGCAGCATGATCTGTTGTTTGAACTTAGAGGTATAGTTAACCCAAAAGTGAACATTTGTGAAAGTGTTCTAAAAAAAGTGAAAGACTTACTAATTTCTTTCCTGATTCAGTCAAGACAACTTTTTCACTGGAGAAAACAATAATATGGATAGAGGACTCAAATTTTAGCTGGAAACAATTGATTGAATTTGAAAACTTTTAATAATAATGAATTTATTACAAACAGACAGCCTTTTGATTCACAAAATGTTAATTGATGGGCTGTAGTAGTGGTCATGTGGATTACTTGTGGATTATTGTGATGTTTTGTGATAATTGTTGTGATCAGCTGTTTGGCCTCTCATTCTGACGGCACCCATTCTCTCCAGAGGGATCCATTGGTGAGCAAGTCATGTAATGCTAAATTTCAGCAAATCTGTTCTGATGAAGAAACTCGTCTGCATCTTGGATGGCCTGAGTAAATTTTAAGCAAATTTCTTTTTTGGGTGAACTATTCCTTTAAGGAACACCTCAACTTAGCACTTTTTTGACGAGTTGTTTGGTTTAAGATTGTGATTTGCAACATTATCAGGAAAACTTGTTTCTCCCTCTCTGGCTCGTTTACTGGCTTTTTTGCTCTTTTTTTATCATCCATTTGCTTTCCATCGTGCTCTCAATCAGTGGCCACTTTCTCTTCTGAGCTTGTTGATTTCTCTATGCCCCAAATGCTCTGTATTTACCCATGCACTCAATTAGTATCCACTGGGCTGCTGAAGGTATGCACTTGGTATAAATGGATGTCCAGAGCTTTCATCCTCACAAGTGCTTTGTCCTCTCAGCAGCTCTTTCACTCATTTATTCATTTCAGAATCCCTTTTTACAGGACTTTTTATTCAGCAACAAGATCTGACATTTATGAACTATCAGAGAAGTAAACAGAACAGAAATCATTAAAACTGCATGTGGATTTTTAGTGTTCTGTAAAAAGATAAAGAACTCAGATCGGCAGGCTGTGGGGCAAAAATAAGACAGAGTAAATGTTTTCATATGTTTACTCATATGCCATTATTAAACTATTGACTTTAGTCAGGGACTAAGAATGAAAACGAGGCAAAATGAGGCTTTAAGGGATAGAAGTACAGTGTGATTAATGGATTGTACTATTGTTTAATAATATATTGATTGTTTAGATGACAAAACTTCCAATAGACAAAACTCCTTAAAACAATTTTTCATAATAACAAAAGTTGTGAGTTTTGAAAATTACATAATCTTGGACTTTTATACAATGCATGCTATTCTAAAGACTGTAAGGTTATCCCTCATAGCCTTGTTTTCATCAAAATCAAAATGGCTTCTAACCTGACTAAGGTCTAGAAAATAGTATAATGACGATTATATAGAATCCTCATATGGGTCTTTAATCTTAGAAATCTGTTAAATGTACAGTACTGCAAATGCAGTCCACATGACCTGTGTACAATATTTTAAATTAATGAAATTCTTTATTTGCTGATAATCTTAATCTTCCCCTCCGGTGAGCTGTTAAATGGAGAACTGCTGAAACCAGATAATTGAATCAATGAGGCAATTCCAGTTCATGAACAAATCATTTAGATACATGAACAAATCATTCTGATTTGTGAACAAAATGGTAAGCCTGATTTGTCAACTGAATCAACTTATTCATTTTAAAGAACTAGTTCAAAAGATAGATTCATTTCCTGATTTGTTTCAATAACCCAGTCATAGCAACATTCAAATTAATGGCTCACTAAAGACATGAACTATTGCACGAATGTGGTATGGACGTTAGTTTTCCCCCCCATTCATTTCAATCATTTTTTTTTTTTTTTAAACTTTGAACTTTGTAATATGAAACAAGAGCAATACAGTACAATAACAATATAGATGCTGTAAAATTATCCTTAAGTGTTCCACAACAAAATAATAGCACACAGTTTTCAAATGGCAGCAGGGTGAGTTAAAAGTGATGGAATCTCATTTATATTGGTCTTGATTATTTGATAAAGGGAGGGTTGGGCACAGGCATTGTTTTGAAAACAGATTATATAGTTCTCAGTATGTTTGGCTGGGTGCTATTGTCCATTTTCCCTTTATAATCTGTCCACTTCTATTTATAATCTGTTGTTTTCAAAAATTTATTTTCTACTGATTTACTCAACAGAGTGTTCTACTGTTAATATGTGAGGTTGGATGGTATGTAGTATAATCCTCATGGACAGATGAGACGTAGCATGTTGAACCGAGGGTCAGAAGGGCACAGATGCATGCCGATCGAGTGTGGAGATTAGGCCAGTGTCCAGTTGTAATTATAACGGTAATTCCACTCTCCAGATGGATGTTTTTACAAGCGAACACAAGAAGGATGGTCCACACGTCTCTGAGAGTTGACGGCTTTGAGGAAAGCAGCTTATGTTAAATGGGCGGACGAGTATCACCAGTCTATTGCGTCTCCAGCCTTTGACTTCACCGTTAATGCCTGGAGATCATACTTTTAATGCTGCTGTCCCGTGCATTTGACTCTGCCATAATGTTTAAAGGGGTGGTTCATTGCGATTTCACTTTTTTAATGTTAGTTAGTGTGTAATGTTGCTGTTTGAGCATAAACAATATCTGCAAAGTTACAAAGCTGAAAGTTCAATGCAAACGGAGATATCATCTTTTAAAATTCTGGCAGTTTAATGCCTACAAAAATGGCTGGTAGGGACTACAACAAATTACTTCCTGGGTTTGTGACATCACAAACCCAGATAAACCCCGCCCCTGGGAA